AAAAAAAAAAAAAAAATCTGAATGCAACTGTGTGCTCTGTGTCTCTTCTGTCTGGTCGTATGACATTGACTTTCGGCTCTGACTGCCTTCTTGTAGGCTGGTGAAATTGGAGAGATGAAGGAGGGAGTCCCAGAGGGAACGCAACTTCAGGGACCGGTTCATCGAAACCCAACTTACCGCCCAAGGTACCGGAGGTATGTGACATTGCTCCCTAACAGCCAGTTGAAGGACTTGAGAGAGACAGCATAATGGATGAGACTGTTGGGGGGCCTGTTGTACGGATCTATTATTGGAAGATCCATTGGAAGAAGTGGCTGCTTCGACTGGAGGTCTAAGGATTAGAGGGACTCTGCAGTGTGTTTTCCAACGGCCGTGGGACATGTCCCCCCTATTTAACAAAATATTTTGGTATTCTTGTGCAAAACCATTGGTTTGTATGGGTTAGCTGTGATACGGTATATAGATGAATATTAATTTTTTTGTTCTATTGAATGAAACAAACAGAAAATTAATTGATGGGTCGTTGGTCAGTGGCCGTGCCAGAGAAAGGAGGAAGTGAGTGCCAGCCAGCATGTGGGGTACTGAATAGTCCCATCACCAAGGCAGTCTGGGGGTTGAGTCAGGCTACAGATCAAATTGTGTGTCCGTTCCCACCTTGAAGTTAGTAGCTGTGTCTCCTTTGGGAGGTTCCTGGACTCTTAAGACTTACTTACCAGGTCTATAAAAATGGACGTTAAGGAATATTTTACAGTTTTTAAAAATACTAACGAATCTAAGCTAATGGTACCTGGTGTATATATAGTAAGCCCTCAGTAAATATTAGATACTGTTACTACACCACCAATGGTATTCATATTAGTGAAGGAGTAGGTTTTTGTGCTTTGTGCCTTGTGAAAACTGAACTGAGCTCGACTCCCTCAGAACCTTTTAAAGCTCTTTGTGTCATAAGCCTTCCTGTTCCTTTTCCTGGTCCTTGATGTAAGTGAAGAAAGTAGACCTTCACTCCTGATCGATATTTATACCACCTGGAGGTTTGGCAACATGGGTTTATTGAAAGGAGAATATATTATTTTGGGAAAGGATTTATGCCAGTCTGTGTCCTTTTCCTCACAGGATTCATTCCAGTTGTAGACATAATGACTCTTAACGATTAAATACTAAGAACTTCCAAAATAAGAGGTTTCACAGAAGTGCCTTAACAAAAACAGGAGACAGTGGTTCCATCCCGGTCAATCCCTGGCTGTGTGATCTTGGGAAAGTTACATTTGACTTTTTTCGACCTGTAAAAAGCAGCATTTCTCTACGGTCCAACCAAATACTTAACCTCTCAACACCTCTTGATTTTTCTCACTAGAAATCCAATGTACAGAATTAGCATTGAAATTAAATGTTTAACCCAAAAACATACCAGCACAGACTCTGGCACGAAGTAATGTTAGAGTTCCTTCCGTGTTTAATCCCTCCAGGCTCCACTAAACTCAGTTCGTGGAGGGCAGGTACCAGGAGCCACTCTTCTTTTAAGATTTTACTATCTGTGCCTGTCAAGTGCCTGGCAGGACCATGATATGTGTCCAGAGTGTGTTTATTCACTACAAATAGGTATTCAGATGAAGAGGGAAAATGGTGGAAAAATAGGCTTTTTTCCACAAAAATCTCTGCTCCATTTGCTGCAGTAGCCTGTGTATCATTCTTTTTCTTTTGTTTGTTTAGTGTTTATTTTTGAAAGAAAAAGTGTGAGCGGGGGAGGGGCAGAGAGAGAGGGAGACACAGAATCCGAAGCAGGCTCCAGGCTCTGAGCCGTCAGCACAGAACCTGATATGGGCCTCGAACCCACGAACCGTGAGATCATGACCTGAGCCAAAATAGGGAGGCTTAACCGACTGAGCCACCCAGGCGCCCCAAGCCTGTGTATTCTAGCAATAAATACCGATCACTTGACTTCTTAACCTTCAAAAGTAAAGATTATTCTTGCGGCCCCCTGTCCTGTTGCACTGTTCTCTTTTCTTTTGCATTCTCTGCTCTAGAGGCCCTCCTCGCCCCCGACCTGCCCCAGCTGTTGGAGAGGCTGAAGATAAAGAGAACCAACAAGCGGCCAATGGTTCAAACCAGCCATCTGCTCGCCGTGGATACCGGCGCCCATACAACTACAGGCGGCGCCCCCGTCCTCCTAATGCTCCTTCACAAGATGGCAAAGAGGTAAATCCAACCAGCCGGAAGGGGATGTTGCCACATCATCCTTAATCACGTCAAACTTTATTTAGTATTCCATCCTAAGTGTGGTTTGATAACCTGCCAACTGGCAATCATTTAACATTTTATGTTATCATTATATTACGTATGTATTTATATTTGCAAATCATATAAATGTCTACTATTTATATATTAAGGTAATATGTATATAGCATTTATAGGTATTCTATTATATAATCTGTATATGAAAGATAATACAATATTTTTAATATTTTAGTTAAGATCTATGCGTCTATATATTATGGAGAAAGAATGCCCTGTACGTAACATAAACAAACATTTGAGTTCAACTAGTTATCATTCTCTGAAAGGATTATGCATACTAATGGAGATTCAGAATTAAAATGTTGAAGGCTCTCCGAACGTAGGACAGCATTTACAGAGAGGAAGCTCTCTCTAAGCAAGCATTAAAAGCAATTGTGTATCAGAGACTTTGTTGCGGAGAGTGGTGGTGTTTAGTTGCCATTTATTGGCCGTTCTTCTCTGATACTAAATTTTGACTCCCACTTAAGAATAGTTACTTTTGCAGAGTGATTTATCTTCGTAAGCAGGAAGATCCCAGCTTTTGAGACCTTTTAGTCTTGAACTTTCCATTGTCATCCGGGTCGATTAATTTCCGGACTGTGGTTTTGTTTCGTGGCTTACTTAGACCAAGGCAGGCGAAGCGCCATCTGAGAACCCCGCTCCAGCCACCGAGCAGAGCAGTGCCGAGTAACACCAGGCTCCCCAGGCACCTTCACCATCAGCAGGTAAGAGCTCGGGCAGCCCGGGCCTTGAGTTGATTTTTTTTTTTTTTTTTTTAATGTTTATTCATTTTTGAGAGAGAGAATCAGCATGAGCGAGAGAAGGGGAGAGAAAGAGGCAGACACAGAATCCAAAGCAGGCTCCAGGCTCTGAGCTGTCGTCACAGAGCCTGGCACGGGCCTCGAACTCACGAGCCATGAGATCATGACCTGAGCTTAATGACGTGAGTCGGACGCTTAACCCACTGAGTCACCCAGGCGCCCCTGATATTTTAAGTATTGTTGATTTCAGTCTGAGCCAGTTCTGTGGTTCATCTGGATCAGCCGTCCTCTCCTTTTAGGACTCCGGAGAAAGATCAGTTTTAGTGGTTAAATATGGGATTTGACCTTACTTTGCTAGGTTTTGGGGGGCATAAGCATTTGACAGTTATTGATGGTCATTTTTTTTCTCTATAGACATAATTTTTAATATTAATACCTCTTAACTTTTGAAAGTTTTACTTTTGTGACACCTAGTGGCCAGTTTGAACAGGAGACCGATCTACAGAATAAACTAGAGTATTTTTTTCTTCCCTTCTCCCTTTGATAACTAACATAATTGATTTTGAGGCCGTGCAGTATAATGAGCGAGAGCCAAGAGGTTTATGTACTCAGTGCGGGAGCCACTGCTCATTTGCTGGGTGGTGCTGAGCAGTTTGTTTATTCTCTGCCCCAGCAATGTCTGCTGCTGGTAAAACAGGGATACCAACTAGACTTACTCACCAAGTGTTGTTGCAAAGATTTAGTGAGATAACACGTGTAAGGTGCTTAATCAGGGCGTGGTGAAGCATAACCTCCCCATAAAGGTTAGCTTGTCTTTATTGATGTTTCCTGCGTTTCTGTTTTCTTGGTAAAGGTCTTGGAAACTTTCAGTATAGAGGTAGAAATAGAACTAGACTGACCCAATTGTAGAGCCACTCCTAAAGGGATTTATAAGCCATAGTTGTTTTCTTTCTGGGTTTTTCACCTACTAACTCCTGGGGCTTAAATTTTTGAATATTTGTTGGTTGTTGTCCTTTGCATTAAATAAAGAATATGCTTTTAGTTAAAAGAGACTGTAGAACTCACAGCCTTCCATCAGGTAGACATTTGCTGTGCTGGGAATATTCAGTTTTATCTCTAGGTTGTGTGGACAGTATCATAGAAATAAACTCCCTATTTAAATTTGCTTGCATGAACTGACTTAGAAATATGTATCAGTCATTTGGCTATAACCTTCTACTTAGTAACGTTATTTCTGGGTATTGCTTCTAAGGGAATAATCCAAAATACAGGGCAACAAATATTTGTACTATTTATAATTTGTCTAACGCTGGGAAGTGGCTCAGTGTTGGGTTTGTTCACGTTAGGAGATATTGTGCAACCACCAAAATAATTATGAAGAATTATGGATGCCGTAGTATCATTTATTTGAAAAGGCGTCCTGATGGTAATTTTCTTTTATATAATTTTAAAAGAAATGTTGGAGAGAGAGAGAGTGCACATGAGCAGGGGAGGGGTGGAGAGAGAGGGTGAGAGAGAGAGAATCCCAAGCAGGCTCTGCGCTGTTAGCCTGATTCGGGGCTCAGTCTCATGAACTGTGACATCATGACCTGAGCCGAAGTCAAGAGTCAGATGCCTAACCGATTGAGCCCCTCAGACACCCGCTTTCATATAATTCTATAAAATTTTTACTATGTACTGAATGTTCTGGTTTACACAAATGTTGTATTAAATGTGTAGGGTTACAGATCTGTAGATGCGAGAATAGATTATGTGTAGACCTTCTGAAATACTGTCTCCTGAATTACATGAAAAGCATACTTTTTGCCTTTTTATTCTTAAACTCTTGGTCATTTTGTCACTCTGAGTTTGGTTTCATTTTTTTTCCAGGTGACCTAAGGAAATTAATGACCATTAGAAAAAGAAAGCACAGAGCAGACCGTGACCTTACCAACACCAAAGAGACATGCAAGCAATAACATGGAAGAGTCATGACCAAGATGTGGACATTAGAACGTTTACTATCCTTTATGAAACAGACAACTATGAAAGGAAAATGTCAGCCAAGTTTCCTAGCCAGCTGAGATCCGGGAATGCCTGCACACAAGACGAGAGAGCAACCTCCCCAGTTTCAGCAACCACTAGGTTTATATTTTTTTTCCTGGTTTTTACTGTTTTGGTAATATAAATTGAAAGAAGAAATATTAATACCACATGGGGAGAACCCCAACCAAAGAAATCTGAAATATATAGTAAATGCTTTTTTTCCCCCTTTTTTGTTCATTTTGGATGCTGGTGCTAAACTTCCAAGTGTCGTGATTTAAAAAGAAATTTTATGCCCTTCTTATTTATTTCTAGGATGAGGGGAGGATAACATTTTTGCTTTCTTACGTGACTTGCTAAAAATGTGCAGTATGGAGTTCCTCAAAAATAAAATTTTTACCCTTGAAAGGAAATGATGTATAATTGGAGTACGTTTTCCTGTCTTGGCATATGTTTTGTCTTCCCCCTGTTATGCCCAGAATTCATGATCCCCAAAGACCACTAGGGAGCCGAATCCGATGGAAAAGCAAAAGAGCCTTTATTCGAGCTAGCTTGAGCTCAATCCCCTACCTGCACCGACGCAGCGGTGAGATCCTGGGGAGAGAGAGCGCGAGTTTCAAAAGCACAAAGGTTTTATTGGGGCCTAGGGGCAGTTGGTGAGGTAACAGCTGTGGCCTCAGCCGATTGGCTGGGGAAGGGTCGGAGTCCTGTTACGCAGGTCGCCCGGGTGTGTTTTGATCAGGAAGTTTGAACGGGTGAGCGGGAGGTTACTCAAGGGGAGGAGGCGTGGTCTAGGTGAAGGACACAGAACAAGATGGAGTCGGCCGGCGTAGGCCCGCCCTTTCACCCCCGACTTGACTCATGTAATAGTAAACTCCGCCAAATGGAAAGGTGCGTTAGTGCCATTTGGTAAATGTAGGCAAATGAGCTTGAGATCGTGAGATTCCTCCTTGAATGTACAGCCGGGAATGAACAAGTTCACGTTGGGGTTTGGCAGTAGGCGTGCTTTGTTTGGTACTCTGTCTCTTGAGTAATCTTCATTGAGGTGACCTGATGGCATTTAGGTTAACAGTTTTCTTTATATAAATGAAGGAATGGGTAGTTCTAACCTTGAACTCCCAGCCCGAGGTTTTCAACACCCAGCTGCTGTGTTGTATGTTTGTAGGTCTTTCAGAAGAGAGGAAGAGGGGCTCTTTCCAACTGCATTACAGATTTCTTCCCGCAGGGGAATATGGTGCCTTCAAGTTGAGAAATGTTACACTATGTCAATCAGTGCTATGCAATTACTTCTTAGATACACTGCACAAATTACGGATCCTTTACATCAGGTACATTTGGAGCCCCAGGTTTGTGCCAAGCCACTATTCTAATGGCTGGGAGGGAACAAACCAACAAGAGATTCTAATCTCCACGAGCTTGCATTTTAGCGATACAGGGAATAAACCAATACGTAAACATGAAATAGAATGTCAGGTGGCAATAAATAGTGTAAAAGAAAAAAAAACACCAGAAAGGGATAAGGATTGGCGTAATTGCCGGAGGCACCTTTATTTTAAACGGGGAGGTCTCTAAATAATGAGAGAATATGAAAATGGTTTCGTGAGGTAGGAGAGCAGTAACCATTTGAATATCTAGGGAGAAGAATCCAGGCAGAGAGCAGATGTAAAGACCGCAGGGAGGGAGCATACTTTGGCCTGTTTCAGAAATGGCAAGTAAGGGGAAGTGGGTAGTTCAAGAACCTTGGATTGCCTTGCAAGTTAAAAAAAAAAAAAAGTTGGTAATAGACACAAAATGACAATATTCAAAGGTATAAGAAAGTATTTTATGGAAAAACATTATCCAAGTTCTGATTCCCTCAAGTCAATCAGGTAGTATTGTTTTTTTTTAATCTCTTTCCGATTTGTGTGTGTGTGTGTGTGTGTGTGTGTGTGTGTGTGTGTGTGTGATTGGCAAACTGATGCAAATTCAGGGAAGGGGGGAAGGCATCGTTTTTACTCTAACAACAACCATTAGGTAATGTCTTTTTAAAATCCTATGGGTAAGTTTACTGCCCAGCTGGTGCTGTTTTATACCTTTCCCCTCTGCTCCTGCTCATTTTAAACAATTTTATGATGCAGTCTTTCAAACATTTTTTAAATGTCTTAAAAAACACTACTCGCTCCCTGGGCTGCCTGGGTGGCCCGGTCGGTGGAGCGTCCAACTTCGGTTCAGGTCACGATGTCACAGCTCGTGAGTTTGAGTCCCATGTCTGGCTCTGTGCTGACAGCTCAGAGCCTGGAGCCTGCTTTGGATTCTGTGGCTCTGTCCCTCTCTGCCGCTCCTCCGCTCATGCTCTGTCTCTCTCTGTCTCAAAAGTAAATAAGCATTCAAAACCAAAAAACACTCTATACTTCCCGGCACTGAGATTTTTTGCCCATCTGGTATCTTTACTGTTATTCCTTTATCAGTATAGGTAGAGTCCTCTCATTTGTACTGGCTATTCAACGCTTCAGTTATATAGCTATCCATAATTTTGTCAGCCCTCTTACTGGATATTGAAGCTTTTTTTAAAATTGCAATTATACTTTATCTCATAGTTCTAACATCCTTACCTCTAAACACTGTTGGTTTCCGGGTTACATTTATCCTATCGCTGGAGGGAAAGACAATAACAAGGGATGCCGAAGAGTTGGAAAGTCTTCAGTAGTGGACATAAGTACGACCCTAAAACACTGGTTGAAGGTACAGAAGAAAGAATACGAATTGGATGGGCCTGAAGTAGGTTTGTTTTGTTTTGTTTTTTGGTTTTTGTTCCTTTACAGCAAGGTATCGGGGACTTGAATTGCTTTACCAAGAGACAGAGGCTATCTGGGTGAGAACATAGCCAGAGATTAACTAGAAGGCTATCATCCGGTGGTCACACATTAGCTGTAATTGGTATAAGGCTCATGAGTTTTGCATGTTTGATAGAATAGCACCTGTTGAGACAATCCTACACCCGAAATACTTGCATGCTTTTCATTTGCCGAGAGTGATGCTATCACAAATAGCTCAATTGACACGTTGTAAGGGGCTCCTGCATTTATTGCAAGGGTGCAGTTTTTGAAAGTACTTTTGCTCTTAGTGGAATGGAAAAATGTATTTATACAGACTAATCCTTTGAGATTCTTGAATAAAGTTCATAAATCTCTAATAATGTTAAATAAAAAAGCTCTTTAAATCTTGGAGCCAATGCAGGTTGAAACTTTTGGGAGCTTGTACTTGGTTTCAGTTGAAAAGGGGAGAAGACAAAATCTCTTGACTTCAGAGGAGTGATTTTGTATATTATGGCATAAGTGTCTTTTTTGTTTAATAGGAAAAATCTAGAAAGGAAATTGGCTGATATAAATCTCTATAAGTTAGGTAATCTCATCCAGCAAAGGTAAGACTTCATCAGTTTCATCATTCTCTTAGGGTGAAAGCAATTCATCTGACAAACGAGCTCCAGAACCACCCAAATTTTCACTATTAATAGGGCCAGTAAACTGTAACGGGACTGAAATCCACACTGCGAATGTGATACATGTTGCTTACTTTGTTGATCCCTCCCTACCCTTCTGTGGTTTGGTGGGCAGTATTCTATTGAAAGGATTGTAGAATGGAGGCATAGTGATAAAAGAGAGGAGAAATCACTGCTTTGTTATTACCATAGTATCTTTCCTTTCCTGCATGGATCTCACTGTTTAATTCATAGAAGATTTCACACGGGTGGGGTTTGAAATGACTCCTGTGCCTCCCGGGTGTACGGGACACCACTGGTGAAAGTCCCTTTCATCAGTTGAGGCAGAGCTTCTCGAGCAATAAAAATACTGGGAAAGTGTGTGTGTGTGTGTGTGTGTGTGTGTGTGTGTGTGTGTGTGAAGAAATTCTTAAACTATTAAGAAATTCTTAAACTATTTTCCAGAATGGCTGTTGCTGAATTGTGTCCCTCCCAAATTTATGTTCTACCCCCCCAGTAGGGTTCTAACCCCAGTAGGGTTAAGTTCTAACCCCCCAGTAGCTCAGAGTGTAACCATATTTGGAGATGTGGTCTTTAAAGAGGTGATTAAGTTAAAATGAGGCCGTCAGGGTAGGGTCCAAAAGAACTGGTGCTCTTACAAAAAAAAGAGACACGTAGGGTTTGCGGACACAGAGGGATGACCACGTGAAGAGGCAGCAAGAGGGCAGCGGTCTGCAAGCCAACAGAGGCCTCCAGAGAAACCAAATCTGCTGGCACCTTGACCTTGGACTTCCACCTCCAGGAATGGGAGAAAATAAATTTTGATTGTATAAGCCACTCCATCTGTGATACTTTCGTGCGGCAGCCTTTGCGAACTGATAACCATTTTAATTTGCAGCAGCAATGTATGAGCATTTCTCTACATCCTTGTCAGCATCTGGTGTTGTCCCTTTAAAAATTGTAACACTTCTATAGTACGTGTGTGGTGATACTCATTTTGGTTTTAACTTACATTTCCCTAATAGCTAATGACGTTGAACGTATTTTCATTTGCCTGTTTGTCGTGTATTTATGCGCTGGAAAATGTCTCTTCGTGTCTTTTATGAAATTTTTTATTGGACTTTATTTTGTTTTTGCTTAAACTGTCTAAATTTTGAGAGTTCTTTATGTAATCTAGATATGAGTCCTTTGTCAAATATCTGATTTGTAAATGATTTTCTCTCAGTTTGTGGCTGGTCTTTTCACCCTCCTTAACACCACATTTTGTGGAGCAAAAGGTTTTAATTCTGATGAATTCCAATTTATTATTTTTTCTTTAGGGATTATGGTTTTAGTGTCGTACATAAGAACTCTTCACCTAGCCTAAGCCTTGAAGATTTTTTTTTCCGTTTTCCTCTCAAGATAATTTTTGTATGAGATGTAAGATTTAGGGTGAGTTTTGATTTTTTTGCCTATGGATTTCCAATCATCCCAGAAACACTTCTTGAAAAGACTATTTTTATTTAATTGCCCTACTTTTATAACTTTGCTAAAACCCAGTTGACCTTACTCATGTGAGTTTAGTTCTGGTGTCTTTCTTCTGTTCCACTGGTCTAGTTTGTCTTTCCCTCCACCAACCACACATTGCCTTGAGTACTGTAAATCTTACAATCAGGTAGCGTTCCTCCCACTTTATTCTTTTTTTCAAAATTATTTTAGCCATTCTAGTTTTTTTTGCCTCTCCATGTACATTTTGGAATAATCTTATCTATTTCCACAAAAAGTCTTGCTGGGATTTTGATAAGAAATGTATTAAACCCATAGATCAATTTGAAGAGAATTGACATTGAGTCTTCTAATCCATGAACATGGTATGTATCCGTTTCTTCAGAGCTTTGATTTCTTTCATCAGTATTTTGGTTTTTAGCATACAAAAAGAACATTCTTAGTGAATGTTCTATGGGCTTCTAAAAATAATTTT